TGACAGCTTGTAAGAAAATCCATTCATCAATATATCATACGACCCTTGATTCTCAAGGCGCAGGAGCACCATCTTCGTTACTCTCTCGTTCATCTCATATATCATACGACCGTTGCCGCCTAGCAACACACCGGAGCACCACCTAAAAACCCACCATCAACACCATCATTCAGCGGCCTTGTAGCTCAAGCCGTGAACCTGATGGCCAAGATCAGTTCCTCTCTTGGCCACAATCGCTCTGATTAGAAAGTTAAACTCAAACAGGCGCACAACTCATCTATTCACCCAATTGCATCATCCCCAAACGCACGGTAGACCGTGCTGGCATGCCCGCGCACAACCGCACCTCACCAAAGAAGGACAACATGTGTTGACACAGATCCCCTCGGCCTGGAGCGCCAGGCCGCGAGATTTGCAGACCAACACTTTCAGATTGTTCTTTTCAAATCAAACCTCTAAATAAGTTGTTAAGTTCTATGAAGCTAGGTCCTGTACCTTAGTTCATACTTTCTCTTTTCTCCAATGATATAGACTTAATTAATGGTTTATTTCGGTTCAGTCCGATTTTTTACCGAATTTTGACAAAAATAAAAATAAAAAGATAAAACCGGTCCAACCAGTATAGTTCATACATAATCATTGAACCTATTTAAAAGTGTTCACAACTCCAATCCAATCTCCCATTCATTACAAACCACAAGCAGAAAACCAGGACAATTAATCAAAAATAATAATTACAGAGTTACTTTCATGTCATGTGGGTTCTGATCCATGGGAGGGTGCATGTGCTTCATTTGGACCCTCTTTTGTGTTTTCTGAGTTCTTTATCTCAGCAACAGAAGGAACCATATTATCTCAGCAACATTAACACGGTCTTTTCATCTTCATTTTCAAACCCCAAGTGGGAACTCACTTTTCCTAGCCCGCTTCCACCTTCAAGGGTACGAACTTTCAAGGTAACTTCGTATCTTCAACTATGCACCCTAGCGATTGGATTTCACTCAAAACTCACCAAATGACTCCTCCCACCATATTATGATGTTGCCCAAGTTTTGGGCTCGATCCGAAATCAATATGTGTAAGAAATTGGAAAATTCAAGTTCAAACGCAATTCGTTCCTAATTGCAGTGGTTGGTGTATTTCACAGTTCTAGCGATTGGATTTTACTCAAAATTCACTACATGACTCCTCCCACCATATTATGATGTTGCCCAAGTTTTGGGCTCGATCCGAAATCAATAGGTGTAAGAAATTTGACAATTCAAGTTCAAAGGCAGTTCGTTCCTAATTGGATTGGTTGGGGTATTGCATAATTCTAGCGATTGGATTTCACTCAAACCTCACCAAATGACTCCTCCCACCAAATTATGATGTTGCCCAAGTTTTGGGCTCAATCCGAAATCAATAGGTGTATGAAATTGGACAATTCCAGTTCAAAGGCAGTTCGTTCCAAATTAGAGTGGTTGGTGTATTGCATACTTCTAGCGATGGTATTTCACTCAAAACTAACCAAATGACTCCTCCCACCATATTATGATGTTGCCGAAGTTTTGGGCTCAATCCGAAATCAATAGGTGTAAGAAAATGGACAACTCAAGTTCAAAGGCAGTTCGTTCCTAATTGGAGTGGTTGGTGTATTGCATAGTTCTAGCGATTGGATTTCACTCAAAACGCACCAAATGACTCCTCCCCCCATATTATGATGTTGCCCAAGTTTTGGGCTCGATCCGGAGTCAGTAGGTGTAAGAAATTCGACAATTCAAATTTAAAGGCAGTTCGTTCCAAATTGAAGTGGTTAGTGTATTGCATAATTCTAGCGATTGGATTTCACTCAAAACGCACCAAATGACTCCTCCCACCAAATTATGATGTTGCCCAAATTTTGGGCTCGATCCGAAATCAATAGGTGTAAGAAATTGGACAACTCAAGTTCAAAGGCAGTTCGTTCGTAATTGGAGTGGTTGGTGTATTGCATAGTTCTAGCGATTGGATTTCACTCAAAACTCATCAAATGATTCCTCCACCATATTATAATGTTGCCCAAGTTTTGGGCTCGATCCTAAGTCAACAAGTGTATGAAATTGGACAATTCAATTTCGAAGGCAGTTCGTTCCTAATTGGAGTGGTTGGTGTATTTCATAGTTCTAGCGATTGGATTTCACTCAAAACTCACCAAATGACTCCTCCCACCAAATTATGGCGTTGCCCAAGTTTTGGGCTCAATCCGAAATCAGTAGGTGTATGAAATTGAACAATTCCAGTTCAAACGCAGTTCGTTGCAAATTAGAGTGGTTGGTGTATTGCAGAGTTCTAGCGATTGGATTTCACTCAAAACTCACCAAATGACTCCTCCTCCATATTATGATGTTGCCCAAGTTTTGGGCTCGATCCTAAGTCAACAGGTGTAAGAAATTGGACAATTCAAGTTCAAAGGCAGTTAGTTCGAAATTGGAGTGGTTGGTGTATTGCATAATTCTAGCGATTGGATTTCACTCAAAACTCACCAAATGACTCCTCCCACCAAATTATGATGTTGCCCAAGTTTTGGGCTCGATCCGAAATCAATAGGTGTAAGAAATTAGACAATTCAAGTTCAAAGGCAGTTAGTTCGAAATTGGAGTGGTTGGTGTATTGCATAATTCTAGCGATTGGATTTCACTCAAAACTCACCAAATGACTCCTCCCACCAAATTATGATGTTGCCCAAGTTTTGGGCTTAATCCGAAATCAATAGGTGTATGAAATTGGACAATTCCAATTCAAAGGCAGTTCGTTCCAAATTAGAGTGGTTGGTGTATTGCATAGTTCTAGCGATTGGATTTCACTCAAAACTAACCAAATGACTCCTCCCACCATATTATGATGTTGCCCAAGTTTTGGGCTCGATCCAAAATCAATAGGTGTAAGAAATTGGACAACTCAAGTTCAAAGGCAGTTGGTTCCAAATTGGAGTGGTTGGTGTATTGCATAGTTCTAGCGATTGGATTTCACTCAAAACTCACCAAATGACTCCTCCACCATATTACGATGTTGCCCAAGTTTTGGGCTCGATCCTAAGTCAACAGGTGTAAGAAATTGGACAATTCAAGTTCAAAGGCAGTTCGTTCCTAATTGGAGTGGTTGGTGTATTTCATAGTTCTAGCGATTGGATTTCACTCAAAACTCACCAAATGACTCCTCCCACCATATTATGATGTTGCCCAAGTTTTGGGCTAAGCCTAAAGGCCTCTCCCATGGATTTTTTCGGTTTTTTTATATTTTATTTCTAAACTCCCCCTGACGTCGGACTATTTTAACTTTATTACAGGCTGGGAATGTTGACAAAAAAGGAGTGCAATGGGGATGCTGGCTCCTCTTCTGACCCAAGGAGACAACAGTGTTTTGGAGGAAAAGTTTGGTCCCTAGAGGTGCAGAGCTATTCACAATTATCTTCCTTGTAAAACTAATCTTTTTAAGAGGAAAATTGTTCCTGATGATGGTAGCCTCATTTGTAATATAAATTCTGAAAGTATAATTCATGCAGTTTGGTTTTTCCCTGGGGCACAAAAAGTTTGGAAGATCAGATTAGTGAAGTTTTTAAAGTGCTGCAGTTTTCCAGTTATGGTGATTTATTTGAAGCTGCAATTAACTTTCTTTCAAAGTTTGAAAGAAACAAGGTGTATATCTTCTGGAGTCTTTGGCAATATAGAAACAAGGTGATTTTTGAAGCATGTTATCAAACAGAGGATATGATTTTTAGTAGAGCTGTGCAGATGGCTGAGAAATATGGAGATTTCATGAGAAGAGATTCTACTGCAGCTGTTGATAATGTTTCCAAATGGTCTCCCCGTCCTGTTGGTATGTTTAAACTCAATGTAGATGCTGCTTCGGGTGTGTGTGGAATTGGTGCTGTCATTAGAAATGACAAAGGGGAAGCAATGGCGGCTATGGCCCTTCCCTTTGAAACGCCACCTCCACCAAGCATGCCGAGATTATGGCACTTAAATTCGTGTTGAACTTTGCTTGGGATGCTAGATCCTCCTCTGTCATGCTTGAGTCGGATTCACAGGCAGTGATCAATAGTATAAATTCTGACGAGGATGAGTCCTTTGCATCAGAAGGGCATCTTATTGATGGTGTGAAGAGGAGTTTACAACAGTTTCAGAATGCTACTCTCTTTTATTCCAAGGGGATGTAATCAAGTAGCTCATTTTTAAGCTAAACTGCATATAAATTGTAACTTGCATAGAAGAGGTTCCCTGGTGGTTGGAGCCTTTCCTTATTGATGATACTGTTGCATCCTCTTAATTGAGTTTAATGAATTCAGAGTTTCTTCTCATAGGGTAAAATGAAATTTATAGAGGGCAAGTGCCAGAACAAAAAATATTGATGTGAAGCCAGGATGCAAGAAGGGAACCAAGATTGCATGTCCAGATAAAGGCAATGAGCAGCTTGGCCAGCTGCCAGCAGACCTTGTTTTTGTAATTGATCATGAGAAACCCCATGACACATACAAGAGAGACGGCAAATGACCTCAAGGTTATTAGTGTATAAGCTGTGAGCTAAGTAAAGTTAAAGTAAATAAGCCTTGTTTTAAATTGTGTATTCACTTAGTCTTATATTATGACAAGTGTAGGGCTGAGATTGTATTGTTGGCTGTGAGCATCCAGCTAAGGCTAAACGGTTATGTACTCATGCCTTAGGTGCGTGTTTTTATTTCATATACTGAAAATACCCATTGCTCTCAGACTTTGAGAGTGTGCAGAGCATTTTTCCTCAGATTATATCTTTCTCTATTCTCTAAGTTTTTCCTTCTACTCTAATCGTCCATAGAAACCCAGCTAAATATCAAACTCTAACATGGTATCAGAGCCAGGTTCGATCTGAAATCTGGGCGTAGATTGTGCGACGTTGCTGCAATCGAGCTACATTCAAGCTCGTTCTGATTCAGGTGAAATCGCTGAACCCCATCGATTCTGATTTCAGTTTTGATTTGAGATTCGTATCATCTAAGCTAAGAGATGGCTGGGTCTGGAAGTTCTGAGGTGAGAACTCCGATCTTCTCCGGTGAGAACTACGAGTTCTGGAGAATCAAGATGGTGACAATCTTCAAATCCCATGGGTTGTGGGCATTAGTTGAAAAGGGGATTCCAGTCTCAGATTCAAAGAAGAAGAAGGCTGAAGGAAGCTCAGAAGAGGAAGACGATGAGAAAACTGTGGCTGCATATATGCGAGATGCTAAAGCTCTTGGTATTATCCAGAATGCAGTCTCGGATCAGATATTCCCTCGAATTGCCAACGCTGATACAGCTAAGACGGCATGGGATCTGCTATATGGTGAATACCACGGTGGTGATCAGGTACGATCAGTTAAACTCCAAAATCTTCGACGTGAATTCGAGTATACTAGAATGCGTGATGATGAAACGTTATCTGGGTATCTTACACGTTTGAATGAGTTGATTAACCAAATGAAGACGTTTGGTGAGGTATTGTCTAATGAAAGACTTGTGCAAAAGGTTTTAATAAGTCTTAGCAAACCTTATGATCCTATCTGCCTTGTGATTGAGAATACGAAGTGTATAGACAAGGTTGATTTACAGGAGGTTCTGGCAATTCTTAAGAGTCAGGAACAACGTTTTGATATGCACAATGTTGATGCTACTGATAAGGCTTTTGGCTCTTTTTCTGTGAGTTCAAAAGGTCAACAACAGAGAGATAATTCTCAATCAAGTGGATCTAAGAAAAACTGGAATGGAGAGGGCAAGAAGTGGGATTCAAAGCCTCAGTCCTAGCAAAGGTCATTTGCTAATCCTGCACAGAATTCAACTTCTGCAAGATCCATGAAACAAGATGCAGTTAAGCCACAGTGCAAGGTGTGCTCTAAGTTTCACTTTGGAGAATGTCGATACAAGGGGCAATCCAAGTGTCACAATTGTGATAAATTTGGACATTGGGCTAGGGAGTGCACTGTGGGAAAAAATACTCAAAAGGCCAACTGTGCAAGTCAAATTGAGTTATCTGGCAACTTATTCTTTGCTAACTGTGCAACTACAGAAGCAAAGGTAAATGGAAACTGGTATATTGATAGTGGCTGCAGCAACCACATGACCGGAAATGTCAATTTGCTTGTTGATGTGAGAACCAATGTGGCAGGAAAAGTACAAATGCCAACTGGTGATCTGGTTAATGTAGCTGGAATGGGATCTCTTATGCTTGACACAACCAAAGGAAGGAAATACATTCGAGAGGTGATGTATTTACCAGGTTTAAAAGAAAATTTACTGAGTGTTGGTCAGATGGATGAGCATGGGTATTACCTACTGTTTGGAGGAAAACTGTGCAGTATTTTTGATGGATCATCACTTGACAATCTGGTTATGAAAGTGGAAATGAAAGAGAACAGATGTTACCCCCTGTCCTTAATGCATAATAATCAGAAAGTGTTAGCAGCAGGGATCACTTCTTGCACTTGGACTTGGCACAAGAGACTAGGACACCTAAATCTTAGAAGCCTCAAGCAGCTTAGAGAAAAAGAAATGGCGCATGGTCTTCCACACCTTGAAGATGTTGATGGTGTGTGTGCAGGATGTCAAATGGGAAAACAACACAGAGATTGGTTTCCAAAAGGACAAGCTTGGAGAGCTAAGAATTCTCTAGAATTGATACACACAGATTTGTGTGGTCCCATGCAAAATGAATCAATTGCTGGGAATAAATATTTCATGTTGCTTATTGATGATCACACAAGAATGTCATGGGTTTATTTCCTAAGACATAAGTCTGAGGCACTAATCTGTTTTAGAAAGTTCAAAGCAATGGTGGAGTTACAATGTGGACTCAAAGTGAAATGCCTAAGGAGTGACAGAGGGGGAGAATTTCTCTCAACTGAATTCAGCAAGTTCTTGGAATCTGAAGGCATACAAAGACAGCTATCCATTGCTTATACTCCACAGCAAAATGGAGTAGTGGAGAGAAAGAATAGAACAATTGTAGAGATGGCTAAGGCAATGCTTCATGATAAAAGCATGCCATACTTTCTGTGGGCAGAAGTTGTACATTCAGCTGTTTATATTCTAAACAGATTACCTACAAAAGCTCTTGATAACATAACTCCTTTTGAAGCATATAGTGGGAGAAAACCAGGAATTGGTCACTTAAAGGTGTTTGGATCACTCTGTTATGTGCATGTACCAGCTGAAAGAAGACAAAAGCTTGATGCAAAGTCTGTCAAAGGTGTGTTTGTGGGTTATGCAACTTGTGAGAAAGGGTACAGAGTATTTTGATCCATGTACAAGGAAGTTAATTTTGTCAAGAGATGTGGTCTTTGATGAAGCCATGACCTGGAATTGGGAGGAGAATTCAGAGCTGTCTGTTGCAGTAACTTACATTCAGGGTCAATCTAAGAATGTGGTTGATGTGAATGCACATGAGTTGAGTGAAATTGAAGGAAGATTTTCTGGCTCTCATGCTCCCTCAAATACTGAAGAACAAGAAAGGTCTCCTCAAGAGATTGCAAGGATTTCACAACCCTACGATCATACTCCATTGAAGTGGAGAATATCAGTGACATCCTAGCACAATGCAATTTGTGCATTGTGGAGCCTGAAAAATATGAAGAGGCTGCACATGACAAGGCTTGGATAAAAGCAATGGAAGAAGAGCTGTCCATGATTGAAAAAAAATGGAACTTGGGAGCTTGTAGACAGACCAAGTGATAAGCAGATTATTGGTGTGAAATGGGTGTTCAAAACCAAGTTAAACTTGGATGGCTCGGTACAAAAGAACAAGGCAAGGCTGGTTGCTAAAGGGTATGTACAGAAACAAGGAATCGACTACAATGAGACTTTCGCTCCAGTTGCCAGATTGGACACCATCAGAACATTGATTGCACTTGCTGCTCAAAGAAGCTGGAAGCTATTTCAATTAGATGTTAAGTCTGCTTTCTTAAATGGAATATTGCAGGAAGAAGTGTATGTTGATCAACCTGAAGGGTTTGTGATTAATGGCAAGGAAGATAAGGTTTACAAATTGCACAAGGCTCTTTATGGCTTGAAACAGGCGCCTAGGGCCTGGTATGGAGAGATTGACAGCTATTTTGCTAAGTGTGGGTTTGAGAAAAGCTTAAGTGAAGCAACTCTCTACACTAAGACAAGGGGAGAAAAGGATAGTCTCCATTTATGTGGATGATATTGTGTATACTGGAAACAATCAAGATATGCTGGATGAGTTCAAAGAAGATATGAAGGAGAAGTATGAGATGTCAGACTTGGGTCTTCTTCACCATTTTCTGGGAATGGGAGTGATTCAAACAGAATCTAGCATTTTCATTCACCAAAAGAAGTATGCCTCTTCCCTGTTGGATAAGTTTGGATTGAAAGAATGCAAATCTGTTTCTATTCCTCTTGTGGCTACTGAAAAGTTAAGTAAAGAAGATGGAAGTGGTACAGCAAATGAAGAGAAATACAGAAAGCTTGTAGGCAGCTTGTTGTACCTTACTGCTACAAGGCCAGATGTGATGTATGCAGCTAGCTTATTAGCTAGATATATGCATGGTCCTTCTAACAAGCACTATGGGATAGCTAAGAGAGTGCTCAGATTTATCAAAGGAACATTGGACTATGGTTTGCATTATATGAAAGGCAAGAAGGCAGTTTTAGTTGGTTTTTGTGATAGTGATTGGGGAGGATCAATAGATGACAGCAAGAGTACCTCAGGCTATGCTTTTTCCTTTGGCAGTGGAGTGTTCTCATGGGCTTTTGTGAAACAAAGTTGTGTTGCACTCTCCACTGCAGAGGCTGAGTATATAAGTGTTGCTGAAGCAACAGCTCAAGCTATATGGCTCAGGTTTGTTCTTGAAGATTTTGGAGAGTTACAAGCTGAAGCAACTCCTTTGCAGTGTGACAATACATCTGCAATCTCAATCACTAAAAATCCAGTGTTTCACCAAAGGACTAAGCACATTGACAGAAGATACCACTTCATAAAGGATGCCTTACAGCAGGGAATTGTTGATTTGGTATACTGTCCAACCAAAGAACAAGTGGCAGACATTTTTACCAAGGCCTTACCAAAAGAGAGATTCAACTATCTCAAAGATAAGCTTGGAGTTGTATCAGCTCAAAGCTTAAAGGGGAGTATTAGTGTATAAGCTGTGAGCTAAGTAAAGTTAAAGTAAATAAGCCTTGTTTTAAATTGTGTATTCACTTAGTCTTATATTATGACAAGTGTAGGGCTGAGATTGTATTGTTGGCTGTGTGCATCCAGCTAAGGCTAAACGGTTATGTACTCATGCCTTGGGTGCGTGTTTTTATTTCATATACTGAAAATACCCATTGCTCTCAGACTTTGAGAGTGTGCAGAGCATTTTTCCTCAGATTGTATCTTTCTCTATTCTCTAAGTTTTTCCTTCTACTCTAATCGTCCATAGAAACCCAGCTAAATATCAAACTCTAACAGGTGACGTTGGCGGAGGGGTTGGGTGGAACCACGGTGCATCTCACCAAGCTCGATGGTCGTGATCTACCCATCCCGGTGTCTGACACTTTGAGCTTGGGCTACGAACTTCTTGTTGCCAGCGAGAGCATGCCAATACCAAAAGTTTGGGTAGCTATGAAGTCACACACATACAAGTCAAAGCTGCATTTGTTTAGTTTGTATATTTTGTTGTCAGCAATCACTAGGGTTCATGTATTGCGTTATTGCTTGTATCCTAGTAAGTTCTTTTTTTTTTTTTTTTTGGCAATATCCTGAACTCTTCTGTATTTTGTACAATATAGTTTCCTGTTCTTCAGATTCTACATGATGCCCTAAGAAAACAAGGCAGAATCAATCTCAACCGTTGATCTGTATTCAGAATAAAAAATCTTAGATCAAAATTGGTCCCCAGAATATTTTGTCTATTTTGGGTGGTATCCATTGCCTTTGCTTTTGTTTAAAATGGTTGGCAGCCCAAGAAATTTCTTCTTGTTTTTTGGGCCATTAGATCCTGTGCAGGTGAAAAGCATTTTCGGGATAACCATCAAAGTTCAAAACAAGAAGCAAACGAATACTTTGCCGTTACTCAATAACATGAAGCCTTTTAGGTTAAAACCAACTAAAGTTAAATACAGAGTTAATCTTAAGACATGCTTTTTCATCTCAAAAAGTTTCAACCACCTTATTTCCGTTCTAAGATCAATAAAGTTTCATTACGGTAGCCTAAACATGAAAGTAATTTCAGTGCTAAACAAAAGTTGTGCAGCAAATGCCTACGTTCGGGTTGGCTACCGTAGCTAGAATAATAGCTCGTGTTTTTGTTCGAAAAGACTACATCAACCCAGTAGAACACTTGAAGCTTACAGAAGAAAAAGATCTTTAGAATACAAGGAAAAGATTGAACTTTACATATGATAAAAATGAGAAAATCTAAAACCCTCTGCTTTTAGGAGCATTTTGTCGCCAGGCTAATCCTGACTGAGCAGCCGCTCCTCTATCGGGTTCTCCATATAACTGACCAGCTTCGGGCTGACAACTTAGATTACTTGCATACCTCCCACCCCCTTGTGCTGGTGGAGCCCACAAGGGACTTTGCTGCCAAGAGAGATTAGGGTTTTGTAAGTTTGGTGCCGCATTCATTGTGGGTTGAAGAGATTGCAATGGCTGTGGATGCTGTACTAAACCCATATGTTGTTGGTTTGGCAAATGGGGTCGCAACATTGGCTGCTGCTGGTAATTATTCACCGGCCGCTGTTGCGGTGGCTGGTACTGGGTTAGGGATTCTGTGGGCGCATTAGGCTGCCACTCTGGGATGTCA